ATCTTGCCTTTCTGATTCTGCTATGGTGTCGCCAGGGCAAGTTAGTTCCTCTTGATGCTTCCTCAGCTTTATAATGCAAAGCAGCCTTCTTGTGAAGATTACAGCAGTTACTGTGTGCCCTGTCCTTCTAAACAGCACTATTAACTCTCAGCATCAACTCTATGACCTTGGCCAGGCTGCTCAGCCTCTCTGGGCCTCACTTTAATTCATCTGTAAGTGGGGAGAAGGATGCCCACCACACAGGGTGATTGTGAGGCTTAAATGAACCCTAGTATCTTCAGTTCAGTGTAAAGCACTTTACAAACGCAAGCTTTTACCACCTCAATGACACCATGCGATGAATGAATGATTTCTCATTAAAAATTAAACAGATAATATATTACTTCATTAAACTGCTCATAATGGCGGCACACATTTTATGAAGCAACATTGTAAGCCATGCTTTTAAGAATATCTTCTTTTTTAAAAGAAGAAAAAGTAGAGAATCTGAAAGCCACATTAGCAAGACCAAAGAAATGTAAACTTTCATAAAATACTCTCCTTCCTCATTTCTGTGTTTCATAAATATAAAGCGCTACAGTGAAATTAACTTATATTAGGTACCTTCTCTTAGCATAATCTGCGTGATACACTTTTTTCTTACCACCCAGACTAAACTCCTGCTCTATCAACTCACAGACGTTTTGACCACAACTTGCTCCTGAAACACTGTGGGCTCGCTAGAGTTTTCAGACTGGCCCCCCTGCCTCCTAAAATCATTTAAACAGAAGGTTGAAGCCCTACAGAATTCCCGGCACCAGAACCTGCTGTTTCCTGGGAAATGTGACCTTTCCCGGAGGGAGCGCCTCTGCTTCTCCAGATAGAAACCAAGTGTGGGCCAATTCCTTCCGGAGCAAGGAGCTATGTCCGCTTACATTTCCCAGGGGCAGATTGGTGTGTAAGGGGTGAGGAGCTGGGGGCAGTGATCAAGACCTGCCAATTACAGTGGCTGGAAATGAGAAAAGCATGGTTTCTGTTGATAAACAAAACAGCTCCTCAATCACCAAAATTGCATTTGGCTAGAAAACAAATAGGAAGCATTTTTCTAGATAGCATTCACCTAAATAAAAGTTAGCAACCCACCTACAGGTCTGGAATCAATTGCTTCCTCCCCTCATTTCACCCATAAAATACTGAACAAAAAGCTACATTCCTCTCTAATTTCTGTACTTGCCAATTACTGCAAGTGGCACTACGAGGCACACAGGTTCTTGTGATATGTGACCATCCCACTTAAACCAACCTGGAAGGAAGGATGGGCAACTTTACGCTGTAGGAAGCCCCCAAATATAAATTATCTAGGTTTTCTTGCTGCTTTTTTTCTAACTGGAGATTTGCTCTTTCATTTCTTATAGCTCTGGTCCTTTTTCCACTCAAGTACTTTTCTAATTTAGTCTTTTGCTCTTTTCCCCAGAGCAGCTAGAATATTTTTTTGAGAATCTCTTTATTTCTAGAACATATTTTTTCCCCGTAATGGTTTGGTTCTTTTTCTGCTTTGTAATGGTCTCTTCCCTTTGTTACTAAATTCTTATGCCTTTTCCCTGATTCCCACTTCAAATATAGGAGGAGAAAGTAGATAAAGAAAACGAAGAAAAAAATTGAACAAGCTAAAGAAAAACACTGAAAAACAAACTAGATTCTGTGATATTCTCAACTCATTCTGAAGTTGGAAAATGAAAAAAAAGTCTACCACCAATGGACTAAAATGCCATTTTCCAATAACGTCTAACACATTCTACCAAGCCAATATAGTAAATATCCACTAAAATATTTTTTCATATAAATAAAATATTGAAAACCAATAGTAAATACTACAAAATATACTATTCCCTTCTCATCTTTCAACTGTTCTTTCTCTAAATAGAAAGTGCATGTTTTTTAATGGATTGAATTTAGTCCATATTTTTCCCTATTCTTTCATTGTTTGCAATTCTTGTACCTTTTCTAAATCTTTTTCATCCTTCAACACTCAGATGAGATATTAGATCCTTCCAGATACCTCCTCCCCTGACATCCAAGTTGGGCTAAATCTCTATACTCATGTTTCCATAGTACTTGGCAGACTTCTCCCATTATATTCACATTACCTATTCTTTGTCTCTGTTCTCCCACTGTAAGATAGGGCTTTATCTCAGTCATCTCTCCCAGTCCTAGTGCTGGAAATATAGTGTGTACAGAATATATGTTCATTGGATGCCAACTAAAAAGTCGCAATGGATGGAGAAGACATAGATGAATAACAAATGCAAGTCTTTATCTCGATTAGGCACCATCGCATATGCTGTCCTCTTGAAAGAGTGTCTCCCCACCCCCACGCTGCGGACCAGCTAAGTTCATGTCATTCATTAAGCCTTAGCTTAGATGTCACTCTCTCCAGGACCCCTTTCCCTACTAAAGCAGGATTAGGAGCCCCTCCTGTGGCATCTAATCTTTGGAACCACAGTACTCCACTTCAACTGATCTTTTTACATGTCTAAATTCCCTAATTAACCATGTTGTGTAATATCAATGAATAAGTCTTCATTATCCCCACTAAACCCTTGAAACACTGACTGGCACTATGGTGGGAGATAAAAGAAATCAACAGAATATTTAAACAAATCAATGGATAAATATAAACTCACTTTCATATTAAATTTTGTTGGAATAAAAATTGTACTAAATAGTTCATTCTCATTTCCAATTTTATGAATGACAGAAAGAGAAGAGTGAACAAAAATGGAAACCTTATTTCTCAGTGAATTTGTTTTCATAATAATCTTTTGGAAATTTCATCATCTGCTTGAAGCCACTCAATTATTTTATCGAATAAACAATAACTGAAATTTTTTTCAGGAAGGGTTGTTTCCTAAATTTCACAAATACCCCAATAGTAAAAACTTCTTGTTTATAACTTTACTTTTTAATAGCTAATTTTTTCAGCATATTCTTCAAGTTTTACTTTTTAATAGCTAATTTTTTTTCAGTCATGTTCTTCAAGTTTTCTGGAGCTTTGGAAAGTGCTTACTGTACATAATCTTTAAAAATTCCTTTCCTATGGCCCTGGCTCAATTCCCCTAACTCCCTAACAAGCTTTACTCTATGTCTGTACTTGCTACCTTCTTCCTAATAACTGAGACCTTTACTATTATTAGCCTTTTGCTTCATACTTTTACTTCATTGTCTCAGCGATTGTCTCCTCCCATAAAACCATTGCTGCTGTTACTATTCCCAAATGCCTATCTTTAATCCTAGTAATTTCTTTAAACCCACATCCCAAATTAGGTATTTCATTGTTACCTCAATGTAACATATAGACAAAATTAAACGCATTAATTTCCTCTTGATTTTTTTTCGTGTCCTTTAGGACAAATGGCAGCATCATTAATTTCTATGATGTTTTTCTCAAACCCCTGAGCCATCTCTGATGCTTTTCTCAAACCCCAGAGCCATCTATGATGTTTTCCTCTGCACTGATCTCTTCATTTCATCAGCTTCCAATTCCTACTGCACTACTGCTCTGGTTTGCCTCTGCTCAGATCCACCATCACCACCTTCAGAATCTTTTTACTTGCCTAGTGTCACTAACTATGTGGTAACTCCCCAACAATTCTCTCTCTGCTGTTCCAGTTCCCACTAACATACACCTTCAGGATCCACGTTCCCTAAGAACTGTCCTAGTAGTGCTGCCAGCTTGTCACCACACATAAGGCTCTGAGGGCCTATGAACTATGTATAAATGCGTCCACTTGGCCTTCCAATCTTTCATCGCAAGTTTCATCTAAAGTTGATTGTGTGAGAAAGAAGAAATGAGAAAGGATCTAGTCTTATCCTGATGGGGAGCAGTGTCCAAAATGCAGTAGACACTCAATAAATACTTCCTAACATGGAGAAACAGAAACTTGATAATTATCCAAATGGTATCATGTCATGCTACCACATAAAACCCTTTGATTTTCATTGTCTACGGAATATAGTCCCAACTTCTGGGCAGGAGGTGACCCCTGTACACCTCTCCCGCCAGGCTTGCAGGAGCGCTCAGGGCTCCAGCCTCACAGAATCACTTGCTTCCTGTATATATAATCTTCTCACTCTGATTTTTTTTTGTCTGCCTCTTATTTGTCCTTCAAAATTAAATTTGGAAACTTCTTTGACCCACTCCATTGCAGTGTGGCTGCTCTTGAGAATACAACTCTATCATTAACAGGTATTACATTTATTTCTCTGTGTCCCCCACCCTATGATAAGCTCTTTGGGGAAAGGGATCACATCTTTTTCATTCTCCACGGCCTTCCACCGTGCTCACACTTAATACACTTCAGTGTAAATACTTTTGTTTTCTGTTGGCTATCACTAATGAGCTGGGTACAACTAACTATATACAACCGACAAACTACTAATCTGACTGGATTTAATTTTCTACTGAAGGCCCACTGGCTTCTACACTGTGCTTCATTCAACCCAGAAAACCTGCATTTTTTCACTTACATGTTTTTCCAATGTCATTCAGAATTTTAACTTTTGAAATTTCTACCTTTCAGCACATGCATAAAATACTAGTGTCATAAACTTTATTTGCTTATCTAATTCCCCAAAGTTCTTTTAGTGTTATTGTACTTTTAAGACACCCCCACAATAACTTGCCACATATCAGAGTCATTCAACTAGTCACCTTACTCCATATATTATGACATCCACTCCTTTATAGTAATGGCCATGTTCTATTTGCCGTTCTAGCTTTCCTAAGTAACACTGTTCCTGGAATATCCAAAATACTAAACGTTAAAATAATGAGAATCTGGGTTACAATGAACACCAGATCACAGTGCCGTGAATAACAAAACTACAATCCTATGTAGAAGACTCAGGTACTCTATGTAGAGCCATTTATTCTTCTATAACACGACAACACTGAGATTTAACTTTCTTTTTCTGTTTACTGGCATTTCTCTCCTTTAGCCCTAACCCTTCAATCAACTTACTTTATATTCTCATTTGCAGGTACTTCGGGCAGCTGCACAGTAATCATGCCATCCAAGTTGGTCTTCCCGATGAAGGCAGGCTTGGTGCGCAGCACGTCCGGCGCAGTCTTCGCGGTCACCCGGTGCTGCAGCCCCCCAGCACTGTTCCCCCGGTTTGTCAGCACGAATGAGTACGACTTCTCAGGCTTCAGGTTGACAATTAACTTCTGTGTAGCTCGACCATCCACTTCTTCTACCATTTTCCCATCATCATAAAGAATCTAGGGAGATACCACCGATCACAGAGAGTCTAGGAATGTTTTCTAAACTCATGTGCACTTGCTTAGAGAAAATGCATATCAGACCAATTTCAATTTCGGGATAATTCATAAGCCAATAAGTAGTCACAAATTCTAGAGATTGCATCAATTTTTCACTTCGTTCTTACTGTGTAATGATATAATATGTCTAACTCTAGCGAAAATACACAAAGAAATGCACAATATTTTTTCAATTTTGACTTGTCAGGTGTATGTGACAGAAATGGAATGTGTGCAGAAATGCTTTAGGTTTCCAATGGATGATACACATCACTTTTTTTCTAAACGTTTCCATTCCTGTTCCTAAATATATTATAACTTTCAAAAATGTTTCTCTACTCTTTATTTCATAGCCTTGTACTTCTTGCTAGCATCTCTCACTATCTCTCCATGGAGTTTAAATTCTCAACTAGAATTTAAACTGTGCAAAGAATTCAGGCCAATAAACGCATTTTTAAAATCGGTTGCATTCTATATAGGTAGAAACCATACAGATGTCCTTTTCTGGGGGAAAAACAAAAATTGTCAAGGCGTGGTGGGGGGAAGGAGACATATGTAATACTCTTTGTAATACTTTAAGCAATAATAATAAAAAAAACTAGCTTAGATGTAAAAAGTTCAACTTGCAAACACTAGGTCACCTACAAAGGAATGCCAGCACTGGGCTTGAGCTCCTGCCCCCTCTTCAGAGTGGAAAGGCCACACAGCCCAAGTGCCAGACTCAGTCTAGTATGTGAAAGCCACAAATGAGCAAGTATGTGTTCCAGAACCAAAGCCGTCTGTTTGCTTTTTGGTAACTCACCCAGGGGGACTGCCCCCGGCCCCTCCGCTTTTACCTGTGATTTCTTACACATTCGAAAACAACATACCTTGAAAGGCATGGCAGAATTATAATTCTCCGGAATCTCCCAAGACAGCAGCACGGAGGTCTTCATTACTGCTTTGACATGAAAATTTTTTGCAAACACTGCTGGAAAAGGAAAAAACAGTGTATTTAAACCACTCCTAAGAACCACGACCTGTCCTTTACCACCTTGGACCGCAGGGCTCACGCTAGACGCTTTCTACTTTGATCCGAGAGAGAAGTGGTGATTTGCCTACCTGTTCAGAGCATTCATTTAAATACATCATTCTCCTAAAGATCTCTCCTTTCTCTCCATTTCGGTCAACTACATTGCGTTTTCCTTACCTGAGGACATGGGGATGCTCTCAGCCAGACTTGGTTGGCATTCTATAACTGAATTCTAAGGCATCCAAAACACAGTAAGTTTCGCATACTTTACCTTTCCGCTTTGGCTGAACCTATTAATATGAATGGGCCGAGCAGTTATTTATAGCTTCAAAATACTGATTTCCAAAGACCGACATTCCTTTAAAGGAGGAAGGCCATAAGCAGACAAATCCTACCTTGATCCACAGGCAGTGTCCTGAACTGGACACTGGGACTATATGGCCCGGGCCCTTTGCTCGTGTGAGCACGCACTTTTACATCATATGTGGTATCTGGTTTTAAGCCACTGAGTGTCAGAGTGGTGTCAGCGGGAACAATAAGCTGCTCCATGGGAAGGAGAGGGATGTTGATATCCCTGTACAGAAGGGTATACTTGGTGATAAGGCCATTTCTCTCTGCCAGGACAGGTGGCTGCCAAGATAACTGGACGGAGGTGGACGTGGTGCCTTCCGAGTGGAGGTTTTGAGGGAATCCAGTTGGGACGTCTTCTGGGACAGAAATCTCCTTCACCATCTCCTCCCCAAAGCCCACTTTGTTCCTGGCGGAGAGCCTGAAGGTGTACGAGGCTCCTTTGTGGATGTCTGTCGCTGTGAAGTGATCTTCTTTTTCAGAGAACTCAAGGGTGGTGAGCGGCTCCATGTCCTTCCGGCCAAATTTTAGACGGTAGCCCTGAAGAGGTCCAAACGTGTCCACCGGGGGGTGCCACTGAATGAGAGCAGTATTCATCTGAGTGTGGCTAATCAGCAGCCGGGGTTTCCCTGGGACTGAAGCACATGGATGGACCAACTTACATGGATGCTCACATTTCAATCATTGCTAAATGGAAACACCATTCTACAGCATACTTAAGTCTTTATTAAAAAAGGGGGGGGCAATGCTTGGTCTGTATACCTTTGTGGCAATGTTCTACTTCTCCTACTCTATTAAAGGAGGCTGAACTGCTAGAACGCGATAATAGACACAAACTAGGAATTAACTAAATAATAATTTGAGGAAATGTTTTAACATCTTCACATTTTAGACTTTCACACATAAAGGTGCATGCCACAGAGAAATGAATGAGTACAGATGAGCCAATTAGATGCAGCTAATAATAACAAGTATAACGTATTTAATTATTGGTCGCATGCAATGTACCAGACACTGCTAAGAGCATTACATGTACTGTTGCATTTGATTTACAGTCCTTACTCCCGACTACATGCTCTGATTAGTTATCTTGATTTTTGTATAATAAGAAAAGGAAACCCAGAGAGCCAGAACACTGTGCAAGGTAAGATGTGTAATAAATGAGAAAAGGATAGTACAAACCCAGGTCTATTGACTCTATAGGCCAAATAATTGACTACATTGTTATGCTGCTTATAAATTTACAAAAAAAGTAGCTCCAAATAACATTATTTTGACTTACTATGGCTCTAATTTGCATTTTTGTTTATACTTTACTACCCACACCGGTCATCCCCATTGAATTTTCATCTTTAATACAGGAATTATGTTATGACCTACCCTATAATGTTGTTGTGAATATTAGATCAGAAAATGCATGTAAAAATCTTCACACAAGTTTAATATTTTATTACTATTATCATAATTCTCAATAATCAAAATACTAACCTCTTATAGTAAGGGGCTAGTTTCCTGTAAGTACTAGTACATAATTTATATTCTTTTCAAGTTAAGTAAGTTAGATATGTAAAGAGTTCTAATCTACTCATTCAATAGATTTGTACAACTGCAATTTTTTAATGGAGGGCAGTTATTCCTGGCATCCACGCAGAAGGACAGTGGTAAATAACACAGAGCCAATAGGTACTTTGAGGATAGACCAAAGATGGGGGAGGAAGAAGAGTATCAGCAAACTTAAAACAAAGAGAAGTTGATAGGAAGAGGAAGATGGTAGAAAGGAAGGAAAGCTTGCACTAATGGGAGACTGGCAATGACAAATAGTATTAAGGGGGTAGAGATTAAAAAAATGAAACAAATAAACAAAAAACAACAAAACCAGAAAGATGATAAGAAAATACATAGTATACTGACCTTGGTAATGACCTAGCTAACCTGTTCATCATATATTTTAGAAAGTTGAACCCTCAGTGGTAACATGCTTTGCCCAAGAACATGCTCATTAACAGTTTTGTTCACATGTTGGGTAAGTTCATATAACTCAACTAACCCACAATGCAGGGGAAGAATAGTTCCTGAAGTTTGTAATGGCTACTCTGTGTGTATGTGTGTGTGTGCGTGTGTGTGTGTGTGTGTGTGTGTGTGTGTTGAGAGTTGGCCCAGGAATCAAGTTAAACCAAACCAAAAATTGTATACTCATTGTTTCTCAGGAAAATATGCATGCAGAGAGCTTAATCAATTAAGAAATTCCCAAACTACAACTCATTCATAAATTGGAGAGCCTTTGAATTATTCCATTTACAGTAGCTTTCTTCAGTTTCAGTTAGCCTTGGTTAACCATAGCCCGAAAGTATTAAGTGGAAAATTCCAGAAATAAACAATTCATACTTTTTAAATTCTGAGTAGCCATGATGAAATCTTGCGCTACCCCACTGCATCCCGCCCGGGACTTGAATCATCCCTTTGATGCCTCCACACTGTAGGTTAGTCACTTAGGAGCCATCTCCATTATCAGACTGGCTGTCACGGTATCGCAGTGCTTGTGTTGAAGCAACCCTTATTTTACTTAACACAATGGCCCCAAAGTGAAAGAGTAGCGATGCTGCCAGTTCAGATATGCCAGAGAGAAGCCTTAAAGTGCCTCCTTTATGAGAAAAGGTGATTCCAGTACAATAAGCTATTTTGAGAGAGAGGGAACAGTCACATACCTTTTACTTCAATATATTGTTAGACTTGTTCTATTTTATTGTCAGCTACTGTTAATCTCTCACTGTGCCTAATTCATAAATTAAACATGTATGTAAAGGAAAATACATAGTATAAATGGGATTCGGTACCTTCTTTGGTTTTAGGCATTCCCTGGGGGTCTTGTAATGTAGCCCCAGTAACTAAGGAGGTACCACTGTATTAGTTTAAATTTATTTCATTTTAAAATTATTTTCATTTTAAAAATCACTTTAAGGTAGACAGTGAGAGGCATCTTTAAATTTCCCTTTATGTGTGTATAACATTTACACAATTTGCTCATTAAGGGTCAGTGATGTCAAGGATTAAACACTTGAGGCTCTGCTGAGAAAAACTAGGGCCTTCAGCAGAGGAAACATCATTCAGTGAACAAAACCCAGTTGAAACTACTAGGAAGAAACCTAACTATTAAGCCTCAACATTTTCCAGCTACAATCTATTTTATTAAACATATTTATCAAAATTTTCTAAAATTCTGGTTCCAAGGAACTGCACAGTAAGTATGTATACAGTTTCTATAAGATGCATGTAAAGCTAGGATTAATCAAACATTTTTAGTTTTCTTTTTGAAAAAACTGATTTCAGAGAGGAAGGGAGAGAGAGAGAGAAAGAGAAACATCAATGATGAGAATCATTGATTGGCTGCCTCCTGCACGCCCCCTACCGGGGATCGAGTGCTCAACCCGGGCATGTGCCCTTGACCAGAATTAAACCCGGGACCCTTCAGTCTGCAGGCCAACACTCTATCCACTGAGCCAAACCAGCTACGGCTAGTATTCTTGATATAAACCACAAATATTCTAATAATATTTATACTATTTGTCATCCAAATAGCAATATGTTTTTATTATCTGATGTTTCACTTTATACTATTGCTGTGATATAAATTTGGAGAAATATAATGGACCGGTAAATTCTAAGACAAAAACACACTGGCTTTATAAAAATGTTCATCATTCTTCTGTGGTTAAAGCTTAGGTTGGACTAATGTCTTTTTTTGTTTGTTTGTTTTAATGCCCTTTCTTAATTGGGGATATACATACTGTGGGCTTGAATCATGGGATCAAAGTAATGCTCTAGAAGTAAGAGTCAACCCATACCTGAAAACTATATGTTAATACTGACCAAGGTCAACCCAATCAATTTAATAAATATTTTTTTAAAAAGAAGTCAGAGTCAGTTCTGATCTACTGATTTCCACTGCCCTGCCAGGAGCATCTCAGTCTGCTCTCCATTCAAGCCTGCAAGGTCATTCCTTCCCTTGGCAGAAGCTTCACTAAGCCTAAAAACTATGAGACAACCAGTCCCGGAACACCACCATACACAAGTAAAGAATCCCAAAAAGAAAGGAATGCTGAGGCAGCTAGAGGAAGAATACCAGTATCACCTCAGGGGAGGCCAGCCACATGACGCGAATGACTCAAAATCTCCACAAATGTGTGAAGAATAGAAGTAGTTCAAGTTGGGTAAGGGTTCTGAGTATTTCATCCCAGTAACAGAATAGAAGGAATGCGGAGAGTTCTACAACACTGAATATATGGTTAAAAAGAATTCTCTGAATCTCCACATATTGATTCCATTCCATTTCTGATTTCCAGAAAATCTAAACATATACCATCTATTCACTTTGTGCAAAGACTTAAACACTGGCACACAGGAATCTGGGTGGGAAAATAAAGATGGATAGTGCAGGCTCTATGTTCTCTGGTATCTGCATATTCAAGGTGGGGAAATGAAGAGATGTATTAGGTGGTACTGTATGTGGAGTCTGGCTCAAGGTTTCAGGTGCCTTAAGATTATTATGTGGACCACTTTTAAAGGTTATACAGTAGTAGGCTTAATGGTCCTACTTACTCCAGCATCAGAGCTGGGGAGTTGGCAAAGTAAAGAGTATTAGATAACTCAGGAGAGCGTGGAGGTCATTTTAGTAGTGTCTTAGTGAGGAAGCAGAGAGCCCCGCTGCACAGTAAATAAGCTAACTCTAATTCATTTCAAGACATATATGATCTCGTCTCCCTTTTCCTTTTTAAATTCTTCTTATTCCCTTACTAGATTCTTCTCTATTAAAAATGCTTTGGGATTTCAGAAATGGTATGCAGAGTGTTGCCACCCTTTACTTCCTAGCAATAGCAATCACTGGGGATCCACTGAGGCACTTTGTCAGTCCCACTGGCTCTAAACTTAGCTTCCCTTTAACCTAGCACCTAAGAAGAAACAGGGCCTGGAGAGGATTATGCTGAGCAAAAGCAACCAATCACAGAAAGGCACATATCACATGATCTCGCTCATATGTGGAACCTAAAGAACAAAATAAACTGATGAACAAAATAGATCCAGAGACGTAGAAACATGGAACAGACTGTGGAATCTCAGAGGGAGGATGGGTGTGTGTGGGTGAGAAGAGATTAACCAAAGAATTTATATGCATATATGCATAACCCATGGACACAGACAATAGTGTGGTGAAGGCCTGGGGAGTTGGGAGAGGGAGCAGGAAACCTGCAGGCTAGAAAGAGTCAATTGGGGAGGGGAAAGGGGACATCTATAATACTTTCAACAATAAAGATAAATTTTAAAAAAATCATAATTCACTGGCCTAAGCTTATTCCAAATTCTCCATGTCATAGTTGTCTTTTCTATCAGCTTTAACCATAGCTGTTCAGTAAAGTAGTGACATTTATGCAAAAATATAGAGAAAATTTCAAACCAATGAATTTGCTGGTTGTCTTAAATCTCAAGACTTCACGCAACGAGCCAATTAATATGAGACAGGACAATGTAAGATTAACAAGTAACCTACAAAAATGTCACTATCACTGAAATGTAAAAGCCAACACTTTATTCAAAGGCATCCCTCAAGTTACATATTCCATAGATTAAGTGATGGCCAGTACATTTTGTTTCAAAGTTATGATTGTTCACAGATTTTAGAAATATTATATTATACATTAATATATACTACAATCAGGAATTTTACTATTAAAATGAAATTTCATGAGAATTTCTGAATTCTCCATGGAAGCAATTACTAAATAGCCTAAAAACTCTGATTTAGTTGAAGCTCATATATGTGAGATAAACTCAGTAATTCTTCATAGTCACATCAATATAAGGTTTTTTGGTAACAGTATACAAAAACAACAACAACAAAATTTAATGAGTTTACTGATTATGTGGGGATGAACCATGATTGGGGAATGCTTTTTGGGGGGTTGGGGGGAGTGCTTTTTAACTGGTAGGTTGGCAGCAAAGAAAACTATAGATTTTCTCTACAAGAGATTATAAATCTGGATTCTCCCACCTTCAACCCAGGCTCACTGGAAAGGTCTCAAGAAAACAAATGTGCAGACATCTAAACTGTAAGTATATCCTACCTTAATATCTAAATCTTCATTGATTAACAAAGACCTGAAATTGTGAATGAAAATCCCAAGATAATCTATATATATAAAAGCCTAAGCAACCAAACGAACAAACGACCGAACAACTGGTCGACCGGTCGCTATGATGCATACTGACCACCAGGGGGCAGACACTCAATGCAGGAGCTGCCCCCTGATGGTCGGTGCACTCCCACAGTCAACCTCCCATGGCTCTTCCCCGCCACTGGCCAACCTCCCATCGCCCCAATTGTCCCTGATCGCCAGCCAGAATGAGGGACCCCATCCGTGCACAAATTCGTGCACTGTGCCTCTAGTTTTATATATAAATGATATTGACAATTCTAAATACTAATAAATGTCGATACAGTGACTAAAAAGTTATGAGATAATCTTTAAAACAGATAATAAAATAGACACTATTATTCCTTTCTCTTTGGTTATTCTTTTTCTGCTCATTTTAGGACCCCCATCTTATGAGAATGGGAGTTTGATGATTTCATGTAAAACATTTCAGGCTTATTAAGACAGTTATTAATATGGGAGTAGATGTATTTTCTTCATTTTGAAATTAAATTTCAGGAGTTTAGCCTTGGTTGTCTGTATTCAAATAGAGGTTGTTTCCATAGCAAGACAGTCAGTATGCCCCACTGAACATGTATCTCTTATGCAAGGCAAAAAATTAGCTTGATACAATGGCGTTCTTAAAAAAATTAAAATAAAGCCCAGAAGACTATCTTGAAGGAATTCTGCCATCTGCAATCCTGCTGCTTGAGGCAGTTCACGGTGGCAGGATGTGAGGAATATCTTCTGACATTTAGACAAATTTGGCAGTGAGCATGGCGCCTGGGAGGGTGCTCGCCATCACAGCTGTTCTTTCCTTTATGCCTTTACCGAAAGGTGTGTTCCTAAAACGTTATGTGAGAAGTGATTTTGAAGGAGTAGATCAAATCACAGTTCAAATGTTCCAGAGGAGATTTCTATGGAAAGGGGCAGGAGGATAATCCTTTTATAATCATCTCTTAATTTATTGGTTTTACAACGCCAGGCCTTCCTTCATGCTGGCTTTTCCTACTGTGGCCAAAGTGACTCTAAAGAACATTGAGCTTTGTTCTTTAGAAAGAACAATGTGATATTTAGCCCTTTTTCTTTTCTTCATTCTCTTTTCTGTTCCCCATCTTTTGTGCAATTTGCCTCCTTAGAATCTCCATGGTGGGGGTGGGGAGGAAAAAATAACAAAAAATAAAACGAAGTCAACACCTAGTTCCAGATGGCAGCTCCTCTGCCAGGGTTTGTTGTTGGGAGAGCTTGAAGCTGCTGATGTCTTCCCTACCTAAAGGATGAGCCCTCCGAACCCCCCTGAGACTTGCTCCTTCACAACATTCAAGCCTCAGCTCAAATATCCCGCCTCACAGAGACCTCCGATTACTCCAAAATAACCCCTAGGGGCTGCCCTATGCTTAATGCCAATACACCTTTATTTTTCAGTTTATCACTCACTGACATTTTATTCTATACTCATTTGTCCACTGTTAAGTAGCTAGTCCTGGTCAGAAAACAAATTTCGGGAGGGCAGCGTCTGCTTTGCTGACCGATGTATGCCCAGTAATGGGAAAGGTACCTGACAAATAACTGGTGCTCCAAAAAGTATTTGTTAAAGGACTGACTAGATCAGGGGTCCTCAAACTTTTTAAACAGGGAGCCAGTTCACTGTCCCTCAGACCGTTGGAGGGCCGGACTATAGTTTAAAAAAAAACTATGAACAAATTCCTATGCACACTGAACATATCTTATTTTGAAGTAAAAAAACAAAACGGGAACAAATACAATATTTGTATTTGCATGTGGCCTGCGGGCCGTAGTTTGAGGACCCCTGGACTAGATAATTTAGGTAAATTATATTCCCGTGTTCTTGTTTTTTTCTTATGAAATATATATATATATATTAAAAAACAAAAAGTTGATTAGAGCTTATTTTTCCCCCTGGGTCAGAAGTCACTCATCCCATTTAGAAAATCGGCATTACTGTCTCCCCCAACATGTCCAAGGCACATAGCTGCACAGATCGGTTACCTGCTCCTGTGGTGGACACCAGCTTGGGCTTGCTGCGAGCACCGTCTCCTTTGGTGGTGTAGGCTGTGACGGTGAGGGAGTAGGAAGTTTCAGGCTGCAGCCCAGAAATAATCATGTCCTGAAATGACACAGTAGAATGGCACTGATTCAAATCATGCTCCCAGCGCTCTGGGGAGAAAAATCAAGGCATCCGCTAGCATTTCTGTGCATGCTTCAACATTCCCTGCAGCCATGCCAAGCACTGGAAGTTGCATGCCTGGAGCTCATGCTATGGATGGTGTTTTCATGCTGACACTGAAGTGGGGTCAGCCCGCGTAGGGCAGCTCTAAGGGAAAGTAGTTAAAAACATAAAACCTGGAGACAGGGCTCCTGAATTCTTAAATTTCAACCCACTTCCCCTTATGTATGAGCTTGGTGATCCAAGGTCTATGAGTTCAACTCTGTGCCTCAGTTTCTCATGTGAACGTTATGAGTAATAAGACCGCATAGGGCTACTGAAGGACTGAATGGGTTACATCCGGTAAATGATGAGAACTACGCTGGCTCACAGTGAGCAATCCGTAAACTCGCTGTTAGTTTCTGCCAGCAGCTCTCCATGCGCATCCACTACAGCCTGGCCCACAGACTGCGGATGGGCTGATGCCAACGCCGTCTGTTTTACCACCCTGGACCGATCTTGCCAAATGGCTGATCTGTTGGACCTGGACATCCTGAGATTCAGATAAGTTTCTTGGGACTCATGAAACATATCATTGGCTGATCGTGTGGGCTATGAACAATAATCATTATGTACTCAGGAGAATCTTCTGTTCAACTGAATGATTTTCTGATCTAAAACCAAATGAAAGGACTGGCTCGGCCATACCACAAATATTGTTCAAGTAATTCTGACTGTTTAGAAAATGTTAAATATCACCAACATCATTCATCAAAACTCTCTGTTTTTGTCTTAGTAAAGGCCCCACGCTGTGGTAGTTATTGAGACTAGACAGAGAACTGTTCGTCCAAATTGGAGGTTACACGGCTCTTTACATAGAGCTATTGATTTGTCCTGGTATTTTCTTTAGAGATACACACAGAGAGAGAGCAATATAATGAATAAAAAACCCTTTCAGATTTTTGGTACAGCTATGTTTTCAAATTAAGTGTGATAAATTTAAGAAAATATACAATGGCATTACTTCCCACATCTAAAGACAATGCGAGTGAGAGTTCAGTGAATGGGCTGGGTTGTGTGGAGGGCTGGAGGACTTTTCTTGCAAGGCTGTAATGGGCACCATAGAACTCAATGGTTGACAATGATCCCAAATATGACAGCTTTTACAATGTGCTTTTCTCAAAAAAGGAGGAGTATCAACAGCGGAAATTCCAATATTTCGGACTCCATCTTGAAGAGCCATTGGGAATACTATTCTGCCAGATGAATGGACTAAATTTGGGAGAGAAATTTTATTTTCAGGAACTTGGAGTGGTTTCACTCACATTACAGAGACTATAAAAACCAAGTGAACCACCCGAGAGTGGCATTTTAAACTGTGGCAGACAATAGCCATTCCCAAAATCGTGATGGATACATGCCAACCTTATTGTTTTCAATGTCCCCCTTCACATGCTACTTGATTGCTGCTGGAAGCAGGCAAGGCTGAGAGGGGAAAAAAGAAGCAAGGCTTGGTTCTGCCACTGAATTGTGTGGCAAGACGTTTATATCCTCTGAGCCTTGTACAAGTTCCTCAATTATACAAGTAGGTTAACTACTCGTGTCCTTCCTCTAGCCCATATGACAGGATATTATAAACAATGCAATTTGAAGCTGGTCAAGTCCTGTGTGGCCCTACAATCTCAGCTGGCTACATCTCTGTCTGCCTGGATCGCACCTTCTCAGGTTACATTTTCTCTCTTTAAGCTGAGGGTGTACTTCCCTGGTGGCTTCCTACCCTCTGTGGGTTAGTGTGGCTGATATCATGGCCAGTTCCTCACTCTTTGCCTTTCCCTATCCCACTCCACTCCACTTCTTGCCCTTGCTTGCTAAAAGTTGGCATTACTGGATGTTCTGTAACAGTCACTGGTCTTCTGTTCAAAACAAACAAAACAAAAAACAAACAAACAAACAAACAACTGTATTCATTTTCAAATCTTAAAGACTTTTCTGCCTTTATCTCAAATGCATTACCAGCCCTGACTTCCTCCAGCAGCACATACATTGCACACATCTGCTGGACAGTTTCCCTGGGCTGTCACGTGTGCCCTCAAGCTTCGCTTAACTAAAGCTGAACTAACATTCCCAGAAGCAGACCCCCCTCTTTACTTCTTTATTTTAACAAATGGTGGAGCATCTTCAAAACTTCGCAGCCATACTTTGATCTCTTTTCTTCCTCAAATTCTTAGCTAGTCAGCAAGTTTTGGTCAATTCTTTAAAATATCTATCATAAGCATCCCTTATTCCATTTCTGTTGCCTGGACTCTGTTGAATTGTTATTCCTGCGCAGCCATGTTAGTAAAAGAGCTCTTTCCACCTATTTCCTTGTCTACTATCTTTTCTCTTTCTAATCTCTCCACTAAGTCTGCAGGTAATGACCCACTCAGTAAGACATGAAATCCATTTAGTCATTCATGACCGCATTAAAAAAAGAAACAGAATATACTTGAATGCAAACTATTAAAGTTTATATATATTTAAAGGTAGGGTATTATTTTGAAAAACTTTTATTTTAAACATATACATGGGTGGTGACATATAATGCATTTCTTACTATGGGGCATGGTCAAAGAAGTTTATGAAACACTGCTATGCTATTGATTTTTCAACATTATACTAAAACGGATTTCTTGGCTGTATTTAGCATAACTTACTAACCAGAATCCTTTATTTCTGTCAAACTTGCAAACTCACTGTCACCTGACTATATCACACTTGTGACTGCCTCAATCTGCTCACCTTTAAAAAATATGTTCCCGCCTCCAACTCTATAGTGTATGTGTGTGCGCGCACGCGCGTGCGCACACACAGTGCACACACACACAGTGCACACACATTTTCACCTCTTCAATCCCCGTTTATCCTTTAAGTTTTCAACTAAATTTTCAGGACCTCTTCTACCAGCTGGTCTAGTGTTTCTAAATGCCTAGCTCTTACTGATATTTGTCACTCATTTACTAATTAATTATACATTGCTTGATGTCATTACATATATTGTATTTTATGAAACTTTTCTAAACTTTACATCCTTCCTAGCCACCTAGACTATAAGCATTTAAGAGGCAAGTGCCACATCTTATATCCCCCCAGTACCATATATAGAATAAGCTCTCAATAAATAACATAATCCACTCAATCAAATTGTTTTATAAACTCCTCCCTCAGTGGGATACATTTTACTTCTTGCCATGGCTCATTCAAGTTTAATAAAATCTGTATGGATACAACAGAGAATTGCCATTTCTGGATAGAGTTCATTGGTGCCAGGTCTATGTCATGTGATCCACTGAGCCGGATGTATGAGCAGCCTACAGCATACAAGTTGACAGCCCGGGTCTGTGATGCCGCCACTGAAAGCATGCCTCCTCGAACTGTGTCACAAGGCAGAGTTAGTAGCAGCCACCAAAATAAGATGAGCTCATGATATTTCTTATGCAAACAGCAGCACCATGCCAATTTCACAAAACCAAACCAAAATATAAAGTATAACGTAGTAAAGATAATTTAAAAATAATTTGTTAGTTCATGCATTCAAACAGTGATGGTATATCACAAATACATGAAAGAGGAGTATCAGGGAAAAAATAAGCATTTATAATCTGTTTTGACAAAGCAGTCAAAAATTACTCACATGTTCAGTAGTATCATCAAATTCCCACTGATTGAGATTAAGAAGGTTGGGGAGGGAGAAACAAAATAAAAAGAAATGAAGAGAAATTTGTAGCCTGATAAAGGCAATGGTGTCCTTGTTAGATTTAAGGGGGGGAAAAGCAATTGAAACAGTGTATACAATCAAATTCCAAGGAGTTTAAGTGTACTATGCCACCACCTTCATTCCCAATTGAAAGGTCAAAAGTAAATATGCTCTGTATTGTTACCACTAAAACCACCGATTTTCCAAATTTTCCATTGGGATAAATTAAGAAGGCATAGCAAAAAGCTACTGCACACTACTTTGTGACATTTATTTTGACTTTTTCTTTAAGTTACATAGTTAATTCAAGTCACTATTAAGATTAACATCTCTCGTCAATACTGAAATCCTATAGTCCTGGTGAAGTCCTTCAAGATGTAATGAAATAAATTTCAATGAATATTTAAAGAGAAAATATGAGATGAGCAGAAAAAAAGGGGCAGGGGATACACAAGGAAAATCAGCAAATTAATAAAGAAAAGCCAAAGTAGAAGAGAAGAAAAAAAGGAGATTGAGTGGCGTTTAAGGCAATTTTGTATTGTATGATTCCATTAACTACCACATTCTCAATGAAAAGAGCAACAGAACTACAGTTCTGTAATGTAATATTATCAAAGAACAGAAGAACATCAAAGCATGATGATCTTATCAATTTCTTTTTCACAATTGCAGATGTACCAAATAAAACATAAGTACTGATGGCTTTATGTTATGTTATGAGAGCGCTCTATTTTACAAGCAGCACAAATAAAAAATTTGAAAAAACAAGCCAGTGGCCCTTTTCCAGATCTCAGGGACACTATGAATCTCAACCCCATTTACAGAACTGACCTCTAAACCCAAACCATACAACTGGATTCAAGGGTGAGAAGTTAGCCACTAATCCAGCTCCCTGTAGGAGAACATTTCAAGACTGAAGCAAACATAAGAATCTTTGTGAGTTGATTATGTCAAGACTTGGGGTAAATCATTTCCTCAGAGCCACGGGGCTATTTATTTGCCCTCTTCTTCTCACTGAGGCAGAGATGCAAAGTTTGGCAACCTGGAGCAGCAGTTCACAACTTGGTTCATAATCTTTCTCACTTTCATATAAAACAAGGAATTTTCTACTGAAACGTGTCAAATTATTTTAAAATATTTTTTATATTTTAATTGATTTTGAGAGAGAGGGAGAGGGAGAGGGAGAGGGAGAAAGACAGATGTGATGTGAGAGCGAAACACCAATCAGGTGCCTTCTGCACGCCTACTACCAGGAATTGAACCAGCAACCTTTTGATGAACTGTATGACACCCAACCAACTGAGCCACACAGGCCAGGACAGAAATGTTTCAAATTTTCACAAGTATCAGCCATTTCCATGACCAGCTACTGATTTGCTGGATAAGCAAACACTCCCCTATTCATCATATGCCATCAATTTTGGACCAAGCATAGATAAGCTAATCCAGCAGTCGTCAACTGGTGGTCCACGGACCACCGGTGGTCCGTGAGGTCCAAAAGGTTGGCGAATGCTGACTAGTCCATGGGGTATGTATAATTCCCATCATTGTAGTCATTCATTGAAATCTTCCTCTCCCTTTAAAAAAATGACATATGGATTTATTATGGTACTATCTTTGAGTCACCACTAGCTTATGGATAAATTAATGTTTTAAACAACTGATTACAAAACCAATTTATGACTACATAGTTATAAACAACTGCCTTAGGATCAATTTCTCACATACTCAACTAATACTTTTCCTAACTTGGCTCAACGTAAGGATCCCATTTACTCCCTGGGAAACTCTCATTTTTATCATGGTCATTATCTTCATTTTCTGGGAAATGAAACAATTCTTTTCACCAAATATGTAATTCAATAAAGAAGTTATAAATAATATACTATCAGGATACCTTTCCCGAAAAAGATTGTCTGTTCTTCAACTGGAGAACGCATATGTTTAGAAATTAGGTCAACTTAATTCTAAGTAGTTTTAATACAGTAGAAAGTAGATGCTATCAGCAAAACTGCTTCTCAGAATTCTTCCCCTTGATTTGATTAAATGCATTTTGAGGTCAGAAAGGCAAACTCAGCTACAGCTATGGAGAGCTGAGTACCTGCATTTGAAGAAAACAGTTAACATGTTTTTAATCAGATGTGTCATTTCACTACAATTTATTTTCTCACTTGATGGCAACTCTGATTGAGAAGGCGTATGCCCATTATGTACAGGATGCTGTACGAGATGTTTAAAACGTAAAGAAAATCAACATGGGGCCCATGTCAAGAGACAGACTTAAGGAAAGTACCATAGAGAAACATAGGTCCGGAACCAGAGCCTCACCTGTGCATCAGCCAGCATGACATCCTTCAGCATGGGCTGGCCCTTGGGCTCCCCATTTTCCATCTTCACATAATGCACCTGGTATCCTCTGATCTGGCCATGCTGTTTGTTGGGCACGGGCGAGCGCCATGTGACTTTAACAGATGTTGAGTTGACAGCCTCTACCTCGACTTTGCGAGGAGGACCACTAGGAACTGGAACAACATCATCGGATAAAAGAAAATTATAGGCACTTGTCCCACCCAGTCACAGCATTTTCTTTACTTAGGTTTTTTTTTTCTTTTTTAAAAAATGGGCAAGACCCACTATGTCTCCTTTGTGGAATACAGACATTTTCAACCAATGAAAATGCTCAACCAATCTGCTCTACCTTTTAAGAAAAGATCAAAAAACATGACCGATGCCAAAAAAAAGTATGGAAGAAAAAAAGAGTATCAGAGAAATAGAAAAACATGTAAAAAATGTACAAAAGCCAAGGAAGATGCTTTGAGGTTCAAAGCATTAAAGCACAAAGAGGTATAGCATTGAAATAATAACAAAAACTGGTTGTTGGTTGCTGTGTGTGTTTTTTTTTAAAGGTTTCTTTTTGGCAGGAAAAAAAAAGATTCTTGATTACATGGATTTTCTTCTTTTTTTCTCATATCAAAGGTATTCCATACAACAAATGCCAAAACTTAAATGTGGAGCATCAGTGCTGCTGAAATATGCAAGACAAAAAGGCAACAAGAAGACAAGAAGGCCGTTTTTAAAAGTGAACTTCAAAATGTCAAAAAAGTGGCTACAAAAAAGCCAAGGAAAATGCGGAAGACGTTAGATGGAGGTACAGAGGAAGAGCCTGGATTGCAAGGTCATAGGAGCCAGCTGTCCATTTAAAGGGAAGCAAATTATTGTGTTCAGATTAAAAGCAAAAGAAAAAAAAAAAGAAAAAAGCCCAGGCTGTAAGAAAGACAGGTCTTTGGCAAAAAGTGACGTTAGAGCGATGTTGGGTAAAAAAGATGAGCAGAGAAAAATGGGATATTGTTAGCCTATCAAAAGACAGCAGACCAAGACTGTGTCAGAAGGGAGCAAACGGACGTAGCAGAGGCAACATACCATCTTCATCGGTTCGAATCAACACGGACAAGCTCTCGGGGCCAGGGCCGACGTCTGTGTGGGCTGTCACAGTGATCCGGTACTCAGTCCATTTTTCCAGCTGTTCCAAAAGGTATTTGGTAGTGTCCGCAGGAATTCCCAAAATCTCGTGAGCTTTGTCATCTTCTCCATCCACTGCGGTGTACTTGATGGAGTATTCAGTAATAATGCCATTCTGCTTTTCCACTGGTGGAGGTTGCCAACTTACCAAAATACTAGTGGAACTTGGGCTGGTACAACTAATGTCTTGAGGAGGAGCTGACGGCTCTTATTTTGGTAGTGAGTTAAAGGAGGGTTTGAGTGAAAGGACAGGAGTGGTTGGAAAAAAAATGATAAAACAAAAGAAAAGGCAAAATAAATAAATGAACATTAAGGGCAATGAAACAAAAACAAGGCTTTGAAACTTAAAATAAATTTTTAAAAATAAATTATGTACCTTGGCTTAGTCACATGAACCAAAAAAAATAAAATGAATAAATGACCAGAAAAAAATGTTAAGTAATGAGTGGGGGGAATATGTGAACATGAAACCTTGAGATAATAGAGCCTCCAATAAAATTACCTACCTGCAATTTAAATTCTTCTTCTAAACCAATCCCTCAGTATTCCCCGGCCCTACTACACAGACTACCCAACTTCAAAAAAGCTGCAAATACTGCAAGATATATTAATGAGCATCTTGATGAGGCTTCACAGATGCTGTTTCAAGCTTTCATTTCTACATTCTAGGATGAAGGCAATTCCAATACAGCATTCATTTATGAAAGCATTATTTATTTAGTGTGAAAAACTGCAATAACTACTAGATTCCCTTCCACAATTCCAATTATTTTTAAAGGAAAGAAATAAAAGCCCAACAAACATAACAGGGTTCCCTCTGACTATCTGAAAAACTGATTGTGCCTGACCAGTTTTAATGAAAAGTATTAACCTAACATTGATCATAGCCCATGTACAGTGAGCATGCAGAATCAATAAAGGAGGAAAAGGCATAGTTCAAGATTTACCTACCCGAGAGCAATGTCAGGCTTGTTGATTCTGACTGTAACTTGTACTTACCCTACATCAGCTTTCAGCTTTTTAAAAAATTATAACTCTTCGTGAGACACCATTGCCAGTGAAGAATTAGATTCCACCAGCAAATTTTGGTAAAATCAATAATCATCATCTATCTCTTACAAAATGTCAATAACATAGCCATTAAAAAGAACCATTTAAAACCCCACGAAACATCTGGAAAAGGTATGACTTATCTTTCATTTTGTACATTAATTCCTTTCATTTTCTATATAATTATTCGTATAAAGTAGGGTTGACAAAAGGAGTGACAAGATAAACTTTCTTATTGCCCATTTTAAAATAAACTGGTCACCTTCTGAGCAATTACTTTCCATGACATTAATCAAACATACCATCACTTGAAAAAAATTAAAAAGCAATAAGGACCAATACAGGTGCTATCATAAATTATTTTTAAAGTTAATAACATATGTTCCTAAAAAACAAACAAATGGGATAAGACATGCATAAATACATACATATTTTTAAGGCAGTATCTATGGTACAATTAATGAGTAAATCATTTCTCTGTTTGTATTTCAATATGTACAAACAGTAGTTTGACACTGTGGGTCTTAATCTTATGTAGTGCCAGGTCTATTGAACCATTTAGAGCAGCGGTTCTCAACCTGTGGGTCACGACCCCTTTGGCAGTCGAATGACCCTCTCACAGGGGTCGCCTAAGACCATCCTGCATATCAGATATTTACATTACGATTCAAAACAGTAGCAACAATACAGTTATGAAGTAGCAACGAAAATAATTTTATGGTTGGGTCACAACATGAGGAACTGTATTTAAAGGGCCAGAAGGTTGAGAACCACTGATTTAGAGGATTATCAGCCTTTACATGTATTGTATTTTTCATCATAGATAATTCAAAGGGAAAGAAAGCTCCCTGTACTGACACAAAGAAAATCCTTACTGAAAGGCTTGTAAATTTAGAGTAAGATTTGTAAAATCACTAGAACATCATTTTTATTGACTCTGACTATAGGAACTTATACTTCAAATTATAACACTATTTTAAAGGCATCATCATTATTCATAATAAATTGAGTTATTCATGTAACAGCAAGGTCTCATTTGTAATTCTTTTTAAAAAGCTGATTTGGTTTTCATGACATTGCCACCTTCAGACCTTCTATTCTTTGACTATATTCAATACCATTTGAAGCTATTATTTTTATTAAAGAAAATATAAGCTTTTTGTATAGTTATAAAAAAGTCTATTCTGCCCCTATGTAAGTACATATGTATGTATGTATGCAAAAAAGTCATTTGTAAAATACAATCTTAGAGCATGGTCACATTCCTTTTAATTAAATATCTGATTTAAAAAATTATCTTCTACAATATTACTTATTAGCCTGGCTGGAATTCAAAGCAGACATACTAAACTGCATTACATGCTTCAGATTTGAAGAGAAAGACAATTTTATGGGAATAAGGTATAACCACTAATCAGTTAAGCACAGGCTCCTAATACTTTTCATATGAATTATGATGTTTTGAAAAAGGGAAGAATATGATTTTTATTATAAAAAAACTGAAAGATGCCAGATTTCTATAGAAGAATGAAATAAGAAAGATTTGCTTATATGGAAGAAAATTTATATTTTAAAATACATAAATTTTATGTTTGGTGATGGATCTAAAAATTAAGTCAATATAGCACCCTCCTTACAAATGTAATACATTTGTATTATTCTTATCTATTGCATGTCACTATATCAAAATCACTTGTAAATTATCAAAAAATCTGAGAAATAACTCTATAAAACTATTCAATTCAAGGTAAATGGTTAATGACTAATTATAGAAATTTATCAATAAAGAGCAAATAGTATTCTAAGCCACCAAACTTTCCATGAAAAACAATCTCCCATATAAGACTTGCAAAAAACAATCTTAACAATCTGCTCAGGATACAATGAACCCCCACTGTGATAAACACAGCTATTCTCAAAGTAACAGTTCCCAAAAGAAATTGAACCTGAAGAAACAAAATAGAATTTAGGATTGCAAATGTACTTGTGATTATTCCATTGTTCCTAAATTTGTCCAGATACCGATTTGCTGTGAATGTTCCAAATTTTCGCATGTACTACTAGCAGAGTTAATGACAAACTAGTCACAAGAGCTCAGCTTTTTCTCTGAGTAGGAACAAATACGTGAAATGAAGAGTTATTTGCTAGCAAAGTTAAAACCGGTGTGCTTAAAAAAAGGTAACACTTTGGTCTTTTGGCTGCCTCTTGCTTTTGCTAAGCCTTCCTCTGATTATTATGCAGTGTTTATATGCATAATATGGGGCTTGATCTAACTCCTCTCACCCACTTTTCTCATCTCTCCATTTCTCTGAAGGTCTTTCCATTTAGGAAGGGATCTGCTCTTTTGGACCAAATTTGAAAACAGCATAGCTCACGGTTGTACTCTAATCCCCAAGGTTGGAAGCTTGCTAGCATAGAGACTACTGAGTAGTAAGCGTATTAATTAGCAGCTCTGTTTGCTGGTGGGGATAAAATCCGGCAACACCTCCTAGTGAAAAAAAGGGCAGGAAGGAAGTAAAGAGAGACACCTACTTGACTGCATGGTTCTAGCTGATATTTCAGCTGTGGAAGCACCCAAGCCTTGAGGAGAGCGTGCAGCCAGACGGAAGTAGTACAAGCTGTTTGGTTTCAGCCCTTGCAGTCTATAAGACGTCCCTGGCTCAATGGTAATTCGTTGCTGTAGATAAGTAATAACAGAACTTAGTCATCTTCATTAAGATTGGGGCAAGACACAGAAGCAGCAGAGTATCAAGGACTCTACCAGGGAAATCACATAATGAAAATATCAGCATTTAAAAGGCAAGTTTCTACAACCAATAAGGCAACTGGAATAAGGGTAAGCCAGGGATCTTTCCAGTGATGATACAGCTTTCCAAATGCACCGGATAAAGGGGAGACCGAGAAGCTGTCACCCACGGATGTGTTCTACCCTTAAGGCAGGTAGGTGTGTAGCTGTGACTTAGCCCATAATAGAAACTGGAAGCGCAGTATGCCCAACATGTGTGATTACCATTGAAGAGATGTCTAGCTCATGAGCCATGGCTTTCTGCAGTCTAAACAGGGGCAAAGAATATATGGCAAAAAGTAACAACAGAAACTGGTACCCAGTTTTCCGGAGATTGCTATAAAAGAGAACTAAAATTGCCAAGGTCTGATGAGATAAACATCAGATGTTATTAAAGAAAGCTGGATCATTTATATGAAATCTAGATTGCTTTAAAATAATTTTGAAACTTCCTTTCTTTGGGAATATAGAGTCTGCAGCTAGAAAAAAAATCAGAATTTTTCTGTAACTTTTAACACTCCGGTGTGGGGTGAATTTCCCGCCAAAATATAAGATGGCTCTGTCTTTTGGTTTTGTTCCATCCACCAAAAGGGTGGATTACAAACAAATATTTGGTAATACGCAGTTACAATCGGCCCGAGTTTACACGTTTCCCGCATATGAAATCTAGATTGCTTTAAAATAATTTTGAAACTTCCTTTCTTTGGGAATATAGAGTCTGCAGCTAGAAAAAAAATCAGTCCCCCACTCCAAGTGTTAACATCATAAAGGACTTCTGCAATATGATTTCTTTAATCAAATGTTATGATTTCTGCCCTGGCTGGTTTGGCTTCATGGTTAGAGCGTGGGCCCATGGACACAGATTCTATTGCTGGTCAAGGGCACGTACCTCAGTTGCAGGCTTTATCCCCAGCCTCAGTCGGGGCATGTGCAGGAGGCAACCAAGGACTCTCTCACATCGATATTTATCTCTATCCTCTCGCCCACCTCCCTCCCCTACACTATCTCTAAAAAAATCAATGGAAAAATATCCATGGATGAGGATTAAAAAAAAGTTATAGTTTCTATTCATGCTTGAAATTTGCCTGTGCATTTTAGCAAAAATATACCTGTCTATGGGTAATCAATCTCAGATTGAACATTAGCCTGTAGTAAACCTTAAAATACATTCTAAAATGTAATCTAATATGGCATAAATAATCTTAGGCTTTTTATAAAATACTGTTTGCTGTTCACCCAAACAGAAACCATTCAAGAGAAATTCAAATATAAAACCAGAGAAAACATCCCTAGGGTGTTCTGGCTTGCAAATACAAAAGCTTTTAAAATTTTAGATATACCAAATAACAAGAAAAAAGGTATTCCCTAAATAAACAATTGTAAAGCGGAGTAGGTGTGCCAACATTCAAGCATCATAGATTCAAAAAAACGGCCACTCCCTTTGCTGTTTTTACACTATTTCTTGGTTGAGTAGTGGTTAAGATTTTAAATAATTTAATGCTGATTTATATCTTATTAAACACAGACACAGTTATGAGTATGTTAAGTTATATCAGCATATAAATAACATAACTTTTCAAGTGATTAATTCATTTTGGCTTTGTTAGCTAAATCTAAAGGCATTGCATTTAGAACCTGGTCTGTGGACACTCTTCTCAATTCAAACGGATGCCATAAAATAGAAGTTTACAGTAAAAAATAATTTATTACAGCATACAAAATGGTGACCAACAAGTGCATTGATAGTAGTTCATTTAGTACGTGAGTGTTTCAAAAACTTCCTTGTTAGATCTTAGGGGCTGTTTAGCTTTGTGAAGATAAAGAATGTTAAGAGTTAACATAAAAGGGCTCGTGTGGATTGAGCTTTCATATAGTTTTACTAACGTTTTGTCTAAATGTTCCCTGTTGGGATTTACATTAACGAAAGACACATATCCATTACTATAATATATTCCCTTTCTGGAAATGTTAGGTGTATCTTAATAACTGATTTCTATAATCTACTCAAAGTGCACCCAAGATACAGTGTAACCTAGTGGTTAAGAAACATTCTGATAACTGACTGCCTAGATTCAAATTCTATTTCTGCCATTCAGTAGCCTGAGCCTTCAGGATAAGTATTTAACTTCGTCCTATGCCTCCATTTTGTGATATGTGAAATAGATTAATAGGAGAGACTGATCCACAGCACTGTTGTGAGGATTAAATAAGTTAATATATGTGAAACCCCTTAGAACACTGCCTGTTAATATATGTATTAGTTATTCTTATTTTTGTTTCTCTTTTCAGTGACTATCAACAATATCCAACTTTCTGTAATCTACTGTTATTTTCTTTGCATACCATACTCAAGCTGTATATATACCCACTTTCAAATCATAATTTTTGGCATAAAAATAGTTGCTTTGGGGCATCTTTCTCTAAAAGCAGTTTGAATAAATTCACCTACTCAAAGCTGTGGGACTTATTTAGTTATATGTCTACTTAAGTGACTTAAGAACTTTAATGCCGAAGAGAAAAAAAGCAAGTCCCCAAGTCTCATGGGTTATATTCTTTTAGAACTTCATACTTCCATAAATAACATGGAAACTTGAGTAGAAAACAGTCTCAATAGGGCAACAGCTGTTTTGTTTTGCCCCTCCCCCCAGCAAGTCTCCAAATACCCTTGCTATTTTTTTTGGTCATGTCTCTTTTGTTGCATAAATCTCTTCCACCAAGGTCCTCTATAGGTCCCTGACCTTTTTACAAGACGTGGGTAAGCACTCAAAAGCGGAGCAATGCCTCAGGGTAGTGACTGATTCCAAAGGCGAAGCAAGGTCCTACCTCCTCTCCAGGCTCCCCGTCTTTGTAGACCAGCTCATAGTTGGCGATAGTGTCCGAACGTGGAGGTGTCCAAGAGAGCAAAATACTCGTTTCAGACTCGGGTTCTGCTTTGAAATTTAGCGGTTGCCCTGGTACTAAAAACGGGAGGCAAAGGGTTGAGGTAACCATCAGTATCAACAGTCATTAGTTCTTTCTTTAGCGCATTTGCTTAAACTTTCAAAAGGTCTCCACCTATTGGGGTGCTAGGTCCCTTACAACGTCCAGGTAAACTTGTGTACAGAAAGATCATTTTCCTCCTTCAAGGAACACAAACTATACTGTGAATACTGTCCTTGTTCTTTAGTGGTATAATATCTATACCACACGCAGAATATATTAGTCTCTGAATCCAATTTTACAAATAATACAATTACTTACTTCATAATAGTGTTGCACGTGATCCCTGAGATGATTTATATATAAAGCACTTGCAATAAATATTGCCTAAATCATAACGAGTGCTAAATACATAAAAGTTATTGCTGTTTTGCCAAGTAAATGGGCATTTATTCTCTAGCACTGCACTTAGCTTTCAAAGCTATTTTCAATTAGGTTTATAAAATTCCACCTTCACTACATTAACAAACCTACAGGCAACCAGAATCACTTAGCATTTTTTTTCTTACCAACCTAGATTTTAAGAAAAGATTTTAAAAAGAGATAAAAAGCTATCACTTACAAATAATTGCTTCTAATTCCTAAAGGACTTCGAATGACATAATACACTAGACCTAATATAAACTTAATATTGTCCATAGTGAGAAGGAGCTAAATTACTACACAAATGTAAAAGTTTATAGAACACACTTATTATCAGAAACAGAGTAATTTAAGAGAGGTTTTCTATAATTCTTTCTTAGTCATGTAACCCATGCAATAGACAATTTGAGAGAGTTATATATCAGATGTAATAATGAATGGCACATCTATCCAGTTGAAAACACCTTACTCAAATGCTAGAGTAAGTTTACTAATCCCAATGTCCAGATTAACCCCTGATTCCCATCAGTATGCACAAGGCTAAATGCACTTCAGGGCATCACTAGCACACCTAACCTTACATTGTTCTTGGCCAGTGTCTGCTCTGATTGGCTGGCGCTCATGCTCTGATGGCCATTAACAATTGTGATTAATTGTGGCCCTGACATTGTGGCGTGTTTCAAAGTGTGACAGCTAGAGAGATGTCCATATTTCTACAAATTCACATGAAAATTCAGTGTATAATAAAAATTAAGAACAATGACATATACTCCACACCAGAGGGGAAAAGAACATCTAAAGCATTTTCTGGCAAATGAGCATAAACATCCAAAAACATATGAAATAATGTAATTTGTAAAATGATGTATAGAATCAATTTCTTAAATAATACTCAAACCATTTTCATAAGAAAGAAGGTCTTTGGTAAAACAAAGTATATTACTTTCTTTTCCTTCTGTAATCATCTGCCTGTAGTATGGTTTAAAAACTGCCTTCTGTTTAAAAAGAGGGGGATCTAGCAAAATGGTTTCTAGGATCTCTATCATTTTATTCCACTGTGTGCTCTGTGAACCTGTGAGTCTGTGTGTGTGCATGCGTGTGTGTGTGCGTGTGTGTTTCTGAGTGTGTGTGCAAGCAACCACACACATTCATGTTTGAACTGATGCTTAAGGCCACCAATAATCAGTGCCTCATATTTCCAATTGCATTTATCATCTTCTCTCCCTTTTTATATCACAGGCCTTGAGACACTCATTAATTTAATGCCTCTAGGAATGTACTTTCTGAACAGGATAACAGCATATCTTTTTCTTTTTTTTTAAAGTATCTGCCCAGTGGGTGACCGAACACAATCATTCACACTGAGAGGGGGAGACAAAAGAAGATAAAAGATCAAGAGAAAGAGAAGGAGAAACAGAGGGAAATAAAAAACAAATAGGCAAAGGACAAAACAAATAGCAAATGTATTACTTCTAACATAAATATCAAAAGCACTGGCAGCAGCAACAATGAACACCAAGAGCTATCAGGCAGGTGGGGAAATTATGATTGGATTCTAACATTCAGGTAATGAGAGGGCTTCTCAGCCTAAAACTACACACACACACACACACACAGAGAGAGAGAGAGAGACACATCACACACATATGTGTACAATCACTTCTTTTTCTTTAGTTTTATCCCCTTTTTTCTTCCTCTAAACTTCCAAAAATCTGGGAAAAAAGAAAGCCTGTGCTAACTGATTTAAACCAAACCAAAATAGTGTGTTGGCAAAAATTTAAAACAGAGAGAGTATTAAAGGGCTGCTCTCAGGATCATAACTGCTTGTTACTTATTTCCTCCCTGCCAAATTCTAAAAATAAATTAAGTGACATTGATTGAAAACATCTTAGAAATCTAATTAAGTTTTTCTTACTTAAACTGTTTATTTTCTTGCTTTTAATTTGTCTTGAACAAATTCCCAGTAGGTCTCAATGTTTTATCCTTGTTTAGTGACACAAATTTCCTCTGATTCTCTAATTCTGTTTGGTTCTATTAGGAGCCCACTCCTTCTAAATAATGGATCAAACACGCATGTCAGTCTCGGAGGGTGTACTGTCTATTTTATTCTTAAGCAATGTAAGTAGTGGCCAGAGGATTTAATGGAAAGTCTCATACACTAATATTTAAGGGGGACTCCTCCTTGGCTCCCACCATCTCCTTCCCTTTGAAATAATTTGGAGGGTAATTTCATTTAGTGGGTTTTAAACTTGTGGTAGAAACAGGATTGCCTAGAGGTGTCAGACAGATCACTGAGATGAATGAGGGCAGAGGCCACCTGGGGCCTGAGTCAGTGGAGAGCAGAGAGCGCCTGCCCACCTGAAGGAGCTGGTGAGGCTCAGACAGGAGATTGCTGAAATATGGGCCCAGTCTTGCTGGAGCTTCTGATTTTTTCAGCGGGCGGAGATAATGAACCTTGTAGGTAAAACCTTTCCGTTTTTAACAACTGGGAATTACTTACATTAATTGAAATGAATTTTAAAACACTGTATGGGGCTAAATGTGCCTGCTATGAAACCCAGCAAATGAACCTGCACTTTACAAGATCTTTTTATTATATCAGGGTCTACGCTCATGAAGGCCTTAAGGTGCCACCACTCAGACTTTCTCGGGAACTGGGGGTTCACCTGCAGCCATTGCATCCCCAGGGTTCTTTAGTCATAGCCGAAACCACCACAATGAAGCTGAGGCTTCAATGGGTAAGAAAAAAGCTGTGAAATGAATAGATTTATGTTTATATTCCCCAAACATATTTGTCCTAACGATGATAATATATGTACATAAAAAAACACTTTAGGGGACTCCAAACTGTCATATTTAGTTTCTGTGCTTGGAGACACAGGAATGCTTCATCATTTGTCAATTGGAATTTTATACCAAATATTGTGGCTACAGAGGTTCTTATTAAGAAATGTTAATATTTGTGTTTTATGCCCTGCTACACAAACACACATATATGTGACATTTTTAATGCTCTCATACTCTTTATACCTCAAACTTACTAGCATCCGCTTCTTGTTTGCCATATCTATTTAGTTTAAGAGCTTTTCTGTGTTGTAGCATTTACCTCACCAATTACCTGAACATAGGAAAATCAATCTGAAGTTCAGAGTAACTCATGAGCAAATAAAAAGAATCCATCCAGAAACTTACCTGCAATTATTCCATATTAAAAAGGGAAACATGATAATATTGGCCATAAACTAAATTTGTAGTTTAGATGTAAAAAGAGAAAATGAAAGTAGAAATCCAAATTTTTCTTTAAAATTATATGTAAGAAATCCTTATGTTCTGTAAAGTGGTACCAATGTTATATTCTTCTTGATTTATTTAATGTCCAAAAGGAAATTCAAATGTGAGCTATCAATTACCTAAAATAAGATTATAATCCCAGTGATAAATGTAAAGTATTTGAGCAGTAGTACTATTATACTCTATATAAATATGTAAAGGCAACTCAAGGACAGAGAATGTAAACAAATAAGAAATGAAAAAAAATCTACATGTCATCTGAAATGCTGATAATATTAGAAGAGATCAATATTTGAGCAAAATGTAGGGCATATACCTAAGGAGAAAAAGATGATCACATGTGAAATAGCTAAACAACCATTTCATCTAGCCATTTATCAATATGAGTTATTACCAAAGAGACTAGAAAGCCCAGTATTGCTAAAATATCTAGTACTACAAAAAGGCACATATTTCAAAATGTGTGTACCTAACATATTGATAAATGATTTAAAACAATAAAAGCAACAGTCAGACTTATAGTGGTAGTAAAACAAAATTCAAAACAAGGAGTCTGATTTGTAAGTGCCACAAATATATTACTGACAAAATAAGCACTTAATACACAAGCACTTGCACAAATCTTTCAATTGTCATTAAATATCAATAAGAAAAAGTTAAATTTTATTACAGTTGTATTTACATCCAGAGCTCCTTAACTCGTAGATTAAAGTATTTAGAGAAAGCATTTACATTGGGCTCATAATTTTGGCTATTGGAAGTCAGTTTTTTTTTGGTTTGCTGACATAGACGGCCTGTTGACATATATTAATAAACTGATTTTTAAAGTTCTGGAAAGCTAAAGGACAATGTATCCAAATGCCATAGTTTTATATTATAACAATTTTACAATGCCCAGAATTTGTAGAATTACCTTCTTAAAAATGTTTAAGATTGATAATACTCATTAGTAATTAATTAGTAAATATATATGATTATTTTCCTTCCAAAGACCTATATTATTAAGATACACACATATAAATCAGTAGACTTTTCCCAAAATCTATTAAGTGTATAGAAGAATTAGAGGTCAAATATGTTCTCTAAAGAAAGTTCAGAAAAAAGACAGGATTTAACAGATCTAGAATGCCTCCAATTAGCATGAACATTAAACAACATTTATTTCAGTGCATTTGGTTTAATATGTAATTTATTATATTTCTTTATCAGAATTTTATTTGCAGTTTTATAAAATATTTTGTTACCCTATGATTTAATTATGGCTATCTATAAGATAAAACTATATTAGAAGTAGACATCCTTCCCAAATGTTATCTAATAGTGGAGAGCTTTTTCTAGAACAAAATAAATACTTCCTTTGTAAATGGCCATTTTCAAGGTGAACTAGTTGAAGATGACTAGAATGTGCCCTGGCTGGTTTGCTCAGTGGATAGAGCATCATCTTGCGGACCAAAGGGTACCAGGTTTGATTCCTGATAAGGGCATATGCCTGGGTTGCCGGTTTAATCCCCAGTGTGGGTGTGCAGGGGGCAACCAATCAGTGATTCTCTCTCATCACTGATGTTTCTATCTCTCTATCCCTTTCCTTTCTTCTCTGAAATAAATAAAAATGTATTAAAAAATAAAATAAAATGACTAGAATGCCAGAAATTAAAGGTATGGAAAATTTGAAACATTAGCTCATATGTCAAGAAAATAATTATTTTAACCAACATCTTTTCACATTTAAAACCATTTAAAGATTACTGAATATTTTCAACTATACTATTTGTACTTAAGAGGAAATATTAACTATAAAATAGATCATATTTTGATTTTCTATATTACTAGAAATATACTAAGCTTTATATTTATATCAATCCTCTATTTATATTAATATGGATGACATAAACTTAAATAAGAACAAAAGTGATAACTTCCCTCTTAAACTCACTTTGTTACTAAATACTGTTTCTCAAGAATCTGATTTTAAACAAAAACACAAATAGTAGTGTCAGGGAATTGAAGATACCAAAATGAAATGAATACATTTCAGATATAGAACACATAACAATTTATATCTGTGTATATGAAATTAAAATACCCTTGAGAAACTTGTGCATATTGTCAATCAGTGAATTTTCACAGAAAGATAAAATTGCAGTGAAAATAATGTTTTTAAATTTTATAGAACCTCCTTAAAATATTTCAAAATGGTTTATGTTTTTGCCTGACAATGATCCTAAGAATTAGCTAGTCAGCAACAAGAAAAAGGAGTAGCTCAGCATTCATTATTTCAGGGTCTAACATCATTGTATTTGGCAGTTATCCACTAACATCAAATGGCCTTTGTTAATTAAGCCTAGAGAACAGATCAAATCCTTGTGCTATTTTGGAAGGTTTTCTTAGCCTATTGATCGTGTCAGGCACAAGTCATTATGTCATCATATATCTTCTCAATCAATAGGTATTAAAAGTACAACTATTATGAAAGGTTCTTGGAAATATCTTAATGTATAAAATGTCTAAAAGAGATTGGGCACGACTATTCTAATACATTTGTGATTCATTCATCTAGGTTTTTCTAAGTTCAGAGTCCCTGGATCACATTAATGCAATTGCCCCTGTCATAATACTGCCTTCACTGAGTTATGATGTATGTTACTGATAATATAGAAAATTTTAAAAAAGATCTATTTAAACATGTTCTATATCTTTCAATAAATTGTGACAGAAGGCATTATTGTCTGTTATACGGTGTTCTGAATATAAGCATTCCCATGACTCCTAAGGATTCTTATGTTTTGTCTGAATTTATTTCCAGAAACTATGCAGTTTCTTAGATAGCTAAACCCTCCTGCCATAAGAAAGTTATGAAATATTATAGGTTTCTATGTTTAAATCTGTGGTTAGAAAAGTTAGAAAAAAATTAGTGATCAAGTATAATAATCTTCTATAAAAAGTAATTCCTTCTACTTCTTTCAGATAAACGTATTTTTTTCACATCTAAATGGCTTAACACACGTTTGTACTGGGATAATCGAATAGCCACCTCAAGTATTGCAGGAGTAAATTATATATAATCCTAAAATAAAGATGTGAGTAAATGACACAGTGCATTTCCTGCCGCAATTCATTTATTGCTCCTTGTGGACAAAAAACCTAAAAGGCACTAAAACTATCACATTAGCAAATTATTAATTGGACAGATAATGGTGCTTAGAAGTATCTAGGGTGCCCCGATTTAAATTCTGCTTTGCCATTTACTAACCTTATGACCCAAAGCAAGTTACTAAATCTTTTTATCTTCTTTGATCCCAAATTTACTCATTGGCAAATGGGATAATTCCACATCTGCCTAATTGGGTAGTAAGAATTAATACATGAAAAGTTCATAGCAGAGTATCTAGTATATTTTAGCTGTTACAATGATGGTGATGACAATTATATATTACTTATTAAGTTAAAAATGTTTCTGTCCATTGTCTAATCTATAGCTCGTAGGTTTAAATGTGTCCCACAGAAATTCACCTTGAATTCCTAACCCCCAGAACCTCAGAATGTTACTTTATTTGGAAACAGGGTTGTGGTAGAGTTAGTTAAAATCAAGTTTAGCTATAATCCATTATGACTGGTATCCTCATAAAGATGGAAAATCTGGATACAAGAGACATGCACATAGAAAGAATGACATGTGACAATGAAGGAGTAGATCAGGATGATGCTTCTACAGGCCAAAGAATATCCAAGATTGCCAGCAAACCACCAAAAGCGAGGGAAAGTTCTGGAACCTCCCTCCGAGCTCTCAGAGGGAGCCAATTCTGCCGACACCTTTTAGCCACTAGAACTGAGAGGCACTAAACTCCTGTTGTTTAAGTCCACCACCGTGTGGTATTTTGTCACAGAAGCCCAAGAAAATGGATAAAATCCCTAATCTCTAGGAGGTGATTATTACTTTAGATGAGAAAACTAAGGTTCAGAGAGATGAAGTAACCCGTCCAAGGTCACAGAACTAAGAATCACAGACTGAGATTCAAACCCTGGTTATGTCATTCCAAAACCAGGAATTTTTAAAATAAAAGCTGAAAAATCAGAAAAAGTAAAAGTGGATTATAGGGATATATTTTTTTCATATACTTTCTTATATCTTTTAATGGTCAAGGAGCTGCTAAACAGTATAATAGTTTTATAAAAAATTATCTTGTAACAGTTGACCTCTTTCAAACAAGAAAAAGGACAAGATTCATGAATTTCTCTATTTTCCAATGAGAAACATTATGAAAAATTAAAATGTACAAAAAATCTATAGTATTTTTCTGCATAATATAGCAAATAGATACAGAAGAACTGCAAAGGCCAAGTAGGAAAAAAATATGGATGGTTTTTAGTGTAATTGTGGTAAAAGATATTCAAATAGTTATCTTTCATACCATTTGAGAAAGTAATAAATCCATGAACAAGCCAGGAAGAACCAAATGATGGTATGAAAATATAAAAAAGCCTGGTAGGCTGTAAATGTGTTCTGAGATTTGTAGTAGCCAGGGCAAATGGTGAATATAGTAGTCATGTGATTCACAAAACCCACAACATGAAAACAAGTCAGTGATCAAACAGGTTTATCGAGTTCTGATACCTGAGAAAATTCACTAATTCTTTCCCAAATTACCAGTAAGTGCCATACCTCTAGATCACAGATACTAACTCCAATAATACTGGTCTTATGTAGATTATCAGAACAAACCAGTGGGATGCTGCCAAAACACTCCTACGTTAATGCACGTTTTAGAGGAGTCAGGGTGCAAAGGAGTCAAATGAATAGCTATCGGATGCCCAAGAATACGATGTTAGCATCCATAAAATTTACTATTGAGACGACAGGATTATGTACCTACTAAGGATTTAATTAGATGAAATTGGGGGCTTGTATCCACATCCACCACTTATTAGAGAAGAGAGCTGCTATGTTATTTTCCCAACCCAAGTCACATCTGATCACTTCAAGCCAAAGACCAGAGAGTTTGCTATCCTCTTATGAAAATAAAACTACGGCAGGGCCAACTTTTTTCTTCATAAAACAGTTTGGCATCTGATGTAATGCCCAGTAGAACGAATGAAGCAGGCCCTAAAGTTTGATCTGAGATCTTGGTAACTGTCTTCCGTCACCCCTGAGGCCATGAAAAGAAAAATCCATTAGGAGAGTATTTATTGTTAAGCAAGTAGCTCCTGGCAAATTTAAGCCGTTTACATATCCTAGGCCCCCTGACAGATGGTTTTACTTTTAACTTTATGTTGAGCCATCCAATCTTCCAAAAACTTAATAATTTTTGAGACTCTTCTCTCAGATGATAAAAAAGAATTGTTTGTTTCTTTTCAAAATGCTGCATGGAGGACACATTCATCCATTGCATGCAGAAAAGTCTACAAGTTATTTGGGGACACATGGAAAACACAGGGTGCCATATGCATCCTGCTACAGTCTCAAAAATGAAAATTGATAATATCTTTGTTGTTTATGCCCTTCCCACCTGTGAGCATCAACTCCCCGCTCCTGCCCTGCTCCCCCTCCAGATGAGACTCACCTCCTGTCTGAGTGATGACTTGTATGTCACTTGAAAGAGGACCATCTCCAATTGAGGTAAAAGCCAGGACTTTGACAGAATAGGTTTTCTGGGGCACTAAGTTGCCAATGGTAGTGATTTGGCTGTCAGCGACATTGTGCTTCATCCAGTTGTTGACGTGCTGAGTGGGATCCATGGTATAATACACTCTGTATCCTTGGATCTGTCCGTTCGGCTCCTCGGGTTCCTTCCACTGTACCAGGATGGTGGTTGAGCTCAGCATCCGCGCTTGCACATCCCGCGGGGCGCTGGATGGCGCTTGCTCTGAGGTCTGCGTCAGCACGGGCTCGCTGGGAGGCCCCCGCCCGATGTTATTGACAGCAACCACCCTGAATTCATAATCCGAGTAGGGACTGAGTCCAGCGACACTGTAGCGTGTGGTCGCTACTCCATCGATTTCTTTGTAAGGTTCCTCAGAATTTTTAGGTTTATGCTGGATGATGTAGTAGGAGACAGGCTCGGGGTTCCCAGAGTCCCACGTCAGTGTGATGCTTGTGGCTGTGCTCTCGGTCACTACAGGAGTTCCTGGAGGTTTGGGTAAGGCTTGGGGGGAGGAAAAAAAAGACAGTCACTACCCATCATCTCTAGGATGTTAGCATCCATAAAATTTACTATTGAGACGACAGGATTATGTACCTACTAAGGATTTAATTAGATGAAATTACAGCAAAAAATAGTGTTCGAAATGGTCAGGAAAGTACAGTATGACATGGAAAGGTAGCAAATCCCATTTTACTAGTGTTGTATTTGGGGGCTTGTATGCACATCCACCACTTATTGGCTATGTGATCCTGAATGTGTTGCGTAACCCCTCTCTGCTTTAGTTTTCTCATGTGAAAAATGAGAAAATTTGTATTATTGGAATTGTACACTTGGGTAACTCTATTTCATGGGCTTGCTCTGATGATTAATGAGCTAATCCAGTGATGCTCTGAGCACATAGCTGGCACCCTCAAAAAAACATTATTTGCGATTATTACTATTATTATAAGCTTGGCCAATTAGCCTGTTGCTTTACAATATAAATGATATAGCTAAGTAGCAATACATGTTGAAAATAGTATATGGAATATAATTTGAAATATACTGAGATGCTATTAAATTGCTATGGAAGAATAATATTCATATTGTTTTCCAGTTGTAATACATAGGTAACATCACTATAATTTTCTCATACATAATCTAATCATGATACTAAAGAAAGAATAGTAATTTTGAATTAATTTCAAATTCATGTTTTCACTTAATATTCAAAAATGCTGAAGAAACTAAATTAAAGCATATTTACAAGTCACTTTTTAAAGTATTAGTGTAGTAAAGGTGAAGGAATTAAGCAGAAAATAAAAAGAAAAACTCATAGAGAATAGTATGGTGACAGAGGGAGGCAAAGAAGGGTAGAGGGAGGTAGGAGAGGGTGAAAGAGGGATAAATGGTGATGGAAGGAGACTTGACTTAAGGTGTGAACACACAATATAATATACAGATGATATATTATAGAATTGTACACATGAAGCCTACATATCTCATTAACCAATGTAACTCCAATAAATTGAATAAAAATAAAGTATTGTAATAGTATGTATTCTATATTCAACATCAATAATACCTGAGATTATAGCTATATACTAATATTTTCAATTAAACCTGTCTTTTAGACATCCATCTGTTTTTCCTTTTAGCAGAAGAACACAACTCAAAATGCTACTACTTAAGAATACAAACCATCTACATTGGTGACCTCATACTTAAGTGTCTTACCCTGGATAATGATTCTCAAAGATAGAGTTCTTAGGGGCTAAGACACCACAGACTTTTCGGAGAAAGCTCAGAAGGTAACACTCATATAAATCAGCCCGTTAGTACCCCTTTTTCCTTGTCGACATAAAGACAAAAAGTACAGTACTCCCTAGAATGACAGCTTTTCAAGAGTAGCAAACTTGTACTTGGAATCTGCTGGGTCCTCAGCCAGAACACTGCTTAGCACTGAGTAGGTTTTTAATTAAGTATTGTTACATGACCAACCAAATGAATGAGTCAGTACCCATTGTCCCCACTCTCTTCAAGTTCCTGTTTTTATTTTGGTTCACTTTTTGACCTCAATAATCACTCTTACATTTTATTTACTTTTGAGGTGAAAAGGTAGGGAAACATCAAGAGCTAGGAAAACAAAGATAAGAAGCTGAACAGGATGTTAAGTTTAATGTGACTCCTGCATTTGAATTCCTGAAGGTTTTCAGTAACCCTTCAAATATTTAAGCTGAAATGGTTATTATGAGAAAGGTGATTCACTATTTGCCTATCACTCTGGCCAAGGGATTTTACTAAAAATAATAAAAGACATTTATTTAAATAATCTGACATTTTTTCAAAGAAATAGGTCATCCAAATTTACCCTAGTTGTATTTCTGACTTTTTAAGGCAAGTCAAAATATTGCTAATTAAAGGTGTGTTTACTGATAACTAACAGACATTATTAGTTTTGCTAAGTCACAATGATTGTACAGTATAGGATTTGTGTCTATAATGCATGGATAAATATAAGCATGCTTAATTATAGTTAAGAATATACAATATAGTGTTACTACTTCAAATGATTAAATGTTGCCTATTGTGTGTGCCTTTGTTCTATTATCACATTGTTGATTTCCTAAGGCATATATTTTATATACTAGAGGCCCGGTGCATGAAAATTCATGCAGACGGGGGTCCCTCAGCCCAGCCTGTGCTCTCTCACAGTCTGGGACCCCTGGGGATGCCCACCAGCTGGCTTAGGCCTGCTCCCCAAAAAAAGATGATCTAAAAGAAATAATCATATCCTTCGATATGGATTTTTTAAAAAGGTAATGGTCTAATGAAAATTCACTGCTGGCGGGGATGAGAGGACTGGGGGACTCCGTGCAACCCCCTACCCCGGGCGGGGCTGAGGGGACTGGGCGCCGCCATCTTGTAAGGGTGTGATGGTCAATTAGCATATTCCCTCCTTATTATATAGGATACGCTTGGCTGGAGATATGGTACCGATTATAACACTCATTTTGCATGTCTTAGGATCAAACTTCCTAGAAAGAGAAGATAATCTGTGTTCATTTTGCTCCAGGTATTTTCAGAAACCTCAATTCTTCCTCAGTCTGACCCATTTTACAAATGTGTTCTAGAAGTATATAATCATTGGAAAAAAACAATGCCTTTACACAGTCACTTTTTTATTTCTTTGATTCAAAAATATCTGAGGACAGAATATTTCTTACTACTTCATCAATACAATATGAACTCCAATGCTAAAAGAGAACATAAATTCACTTGCATTTTGGTTTTTAATGGTAGGGCCCATTAAAAAATGTAAAGCCTCTATCTTGAACATGTTCATTGTAACTTTTTTTCTTCTCTGTGTGTCTTCAGGGTTTTTGACATTTAGTAAAAGTTGTTTGGATTTTTCTGCCATGTGACTCTTATCACAGTTCTAGATTAATGTGAAACTTATATAATAGTTGATCATGTCTAGCATTCCTCATTCTGCCTGGTTAGTTCCTGGGCCCAGCTTGTTGTTAAATATTTTGATTACTATTGCTTCTTAGGATGCCAGTACTTTTAAGAGAGAAACTGCATACATAGATATGTGTATCTCATGTGATGACATAGATAGAATCATACTATGACACCTAAAACACTGAACAATGAATTGGTTCATTTTAGAATTCCAATGACAGACTTTATAGAGGCGTTAGGCAGGTGACTTGATGTAGCCAGACCCCCAAAGCATGCACCGCTGAGCATACCTTTGACAGTGATCTGTGCTATTGCTTCAATGACGCCCAGTGTTGACATGGCCACACAGGTGTAATTTGCTGACTGTCTTACATCATTCAATTCTAGGACATTTCTTCCTATTGGCATGTCATCTTCCGGTGTCAGGTCTTCTGCCCCCAACATCCACTTCACATAAGGCATTGGTGACCCCACGGCCACACAGGTGATGTTAACACTTCCACCTGGCATGATTTCATGATTAGTGGGTGGGATAGAGAATCTTGGTGGGACACGACGAACTGGAACAAAACACAAGGGGAGATGATAAACTATACAAGGCGAGGAAAAAAATGGCTTCTTAAACACATGACATGCACTGTACAGACACACTTAAACAACTGGAATGTACTGCGGGTCGTCCAAAAACAAAACAAAGGAAAACAGACCATACAAGTATGGTATGTGTAAACACACAAAGAACTGATTTAGTTCAGTCATTGATATCTTAGACACATTCATACAAATGTGGACTCAGACCTACAAGGCCCCCCCCAAAGAGACTATCTACAAGCTAACAACAGACAAACATCATGCACAAGATAAACACAACAACATATACATGCATGCACATCACAGTGATTCTATGCATGCATGTATATGCGACAGCAGGGGCTGGAAGGTCACCAGCAGGTATAAGTTGGGTATCAAACCAACTTCCGTGCTGTGTGCTTCCAGTTGCTGTGAGCGCACACGTGGGGCCAGACTGTCCCACCCCAGCCCTGGAGAGCATCCTCCAGGGTGCAGTGAAAGGACAACGTATTCGCTTTCAGACTCAGAGAAGATGCGGCCTCGAGACCTCACTCTAACACTGGAACAAACACAGAGATGCACAGACATATCGATTCACAGAAGAAACAAAGCCAACGCCAGCCAACGCCAGTAAAGATACCAAACTGGGTCATGCAAGGCATGCACACATGACGTCTCCTGCTCAGGACAAGGGGAAATGTAATGTCTGGAGTCCAAGACAACAATGACAGCAGGAGAAGTAACAGGGTGACAGAGCTAAACACAAAGGGAGGACGTCAACTACAGTGAATTTGGGGATGACAGGGTTGTAAGTAGGAGATATTAGATTAAGCTGGTTGTCAAAGGTAAGGATTGCAAATTTAGAAGG